GGAAAAAGATGGAAGGTTTCGACCGTCATCACGTCGCGGCAACGATAAATTACCCATGAACGAGCGGTGTGATTGCTATTAGCAAGGTGCTACGGCTAGGTTCGCAATTATGGTCGGTGGTTCGTTATTGTTAGAACCGCAAATAATTGGACGAATTTGCGGATCAGCGGAGCGGATGCTTGCGAGGGCATTAAATTGGGAGGGGATGCCGGGATGCCGTTCCATCATCCCGAATACTTTGCATCGGGGACGTCGTTATGATATTAATTCGTCCCCTCGCGTCTTGGAACAATTTACTTGGCTCGATGCATCGTAATTGGGCCGCGATCAGGATGTAACCGCGCCGCCAATTATCGTGGCTTCGAAAATCCGTTCCACCGATCGTTCACGTACCGCTAATTGGGCCACTGTGTATCCTTGCGTTTAACGCGTGCGTCTATTTTTATTCTATTATCGTGAGAGATGAAGGAGGAAATAAGAAACGAAAGAAAAATTTCGGTAGGTGGAAATTTAGAATAAAATGTGGAAAGGTTCTATGAAGAGACTCGATCGAAGGGAGAGTGGAACCGTGAGAGGAGGAAAATACAATGAAACGAATGCGAAAGAGTTCGCGAGGGGTTTTACCCTAGCTTCTAAAAAAGAGGGAAGTTTGAAAAGAGCGAATTTGCCAGTGAGAGAATAAAAAGACCGTCTTCTGTCGCGCGCAATTGGAGTTTCTTCTCTTTCCAACCCGCGCTAGATTTAAATTAAAATAATTTCTGCTGATAATTTTATCAACAGGAACGACTTGAAGAGGTTGGAAATTGATCGATATCGGAATAGATAGGAGGAGATTTGTCGCGACAACTGTTCATCATTCGCGTGCTTTTTATCGTGCTCTTTACCATAAATGTCACACCGTGGCAACGATTCGAGACGATAAATCTCATTTTCGCGCGGTATCGCGATTGTTCGAAGATCCGCGTATATTTTGCCGGCGGACGTCATGGGAGGGAAAAATAATGGTAATAAATCTCGACGGGAGCGGGACAGGTAGAATGAAAGTGAATAGCTCAGCATAGAAAAGTAATTAGCAATAAATTCTCGAGATGTTTGCGTACCTCCTTTTTCTTTACGCGGCCATGGATAACATGTGGAACCGGCCTTTCGACGTTACGACGAAACGCAACTACGAAGATGTGGCGTTCAAAGGAAAGAGAAAAAGGGAAATTGAAAAGGAAGACGCAGAGAGAGGCATGCGTTATTGAGAATAAGTCTCGTATATATTTTTACGAGATAAAAAGTTCATTCAATTTGTGACTTTTAATTAATATTAAAAGCCAGTAAAACATAAAATGATTGTGGAGAATGAAATTTTCAATATGTGAAATTTTGATTATTTTTGAGATATGAGATTTGAGAAAGAAAACGAAAGAATTTTTAGGAGATAATCGAAGAATAGAAGAAAGGGATATATTGATATACGCAATATTTATTTCGTGAGCGTTAATATCAATTTTGAGTGAATTTTTATAGAATCGATAATTGCAATTAACGATTCAAATATTTGATTGTATTTATTATCGATCAAACATAAATTTAATTGAATCAATAATTAATTATTAAAATTCCATTGCGGAGATATTAATATAAATTGTATATTAATTGAATATCATCTATTGTAGTATTAAATAGATAGATTTATGATTAGGAGAAGCTTTTTCAGCCTATATATACCCTTGGATTTTTAATGGAGCATTTATCCAAAGTGGAAGAAATATGGCGAAGTAAAGCTTAAATAATCGAACGAGAGATATCAAAGAGGATTTGTATCGAACGTATTACATCGTTTAAAGCCGATTTCGATACGAAAGAATATATGTTTTCGCCTTGTAAAATAACGTTTAACACGTACAACTGAATAAAGAGAATTGACTTTGCCCCATATATATATATACATATTCGTCGTCTGGCACGTAATACTGGAAGATTTATCAAGCTTGGCTCAGCACTGCTCCAAGTTCCTGATATGCATTCGCATGCCGCACAACCTTATCCGGTGACTGAACTCGAATGCTATTGCATCCATGATCGTTCACGTTGGTTTTCTAGATCCACAAATCCCCTCTTTCGATCCTCCAAGTTACGCTTTCCATCAAAGCAAAATCTATCTGTGAATCGTCGCGCATCATTTGGAAACATTTTCTATCGCCATTCCCTCGAATTAGATTGAATCGAAGAAAAGAAAACATTCCACCCCGAACGTCGCGTCACGATCTAAATTTGAATCTTTAAAATTTAAGAACAATTTTCTCTCACTGATCGCCAATCTTATTAATCATATATCAACTTTCAACTTCATCTAAACCAATGATTATCATTTCCAAGATCTTCCAATCTTCTTTCCAACTTTCTTATCGACCGTACGCTTATTCGATCGAAGATTATCGCCTCAACTCTCTGCTCTGCCAAAGTTCAAAGAGAGTTCAAACTTTTCTCAATTCTCGATGACTATCATTCGATCTGTCAAACCAAGTTCCGATCTTCTTCCGAGTTTCTCATCAACTCCGATTGGAAATTAGAATTTCTCCGTAAAATATCCTCTTTCGTAAAATTTGAAACCTGATCATCACGTTTTCGTTATGTCATAACGAGTCGAAACGAATCGAACGAGGTCGTGACGATTCGAGGAACGAACGAAATCGGTAATATCGAAACGAGGAGGGATAAATTTTCGAATAACGATAATTAACGTTCGTTATGAAACCAGATGAAACGAGTGCACGAGAATCAACGGGGAGGATGCGGAGAAGAGCGGACAGAGAATAGAAGGAGGAAAGAAAAAAAAAGGGTTATGGGTAATAACGTTATACACAGCGTGTACGTGAGCGTTCGGGGGAGGATGGCGCACAACAGTCGCCAGGATAAATTCATTCGTTATTTCCGGCTCGATTGTGCTGCCCTCGGTCAAAAGCTGCGCCTGGAATTAGCTAACCGGAAACCTGGTTCCCCCGTAACGCGAACCGCGCCACCGAAAAATTTCACAGGGAATGCTCGTTTAATTGTGGAACGTGGAAACAATAATTATTCGACTTCTCTCTGTATTTTTTTCCTCCTCCCTTTTTTTTTCTTCGTTTCCTCGAAAACGTTTGATTAATGGAAATTTACGCCATGATTCACCGTGGTGCGTGGAAACGCTGTTAAAATCGTTGATTAATCGTATCTTACGACGTCATTCTGAAACTAGGACAAATGGGATGGTTCCTGTGACGATGCAAAAATGATATCGTGAAAATATTTATTATTCCGCTCACGTATTCATCGAATTTATATATTGCTATATTATTAGTATTTGTAAAAAAAAAAAAAGAAAGAAATTAATATTTGTCGTGACATTAATAATAGTATAGCAATATTTGATAGAGGGAGCGAAATAGGAACGTCGCTGGTCAAACAACGCGAACACCAGGATTTATTCGTCCAAATATTTTATACGTTGCGATATTTCGTTGGCAAGATAACGCGATACGCGATCAGACAGCTGGAATGCCATTAAAATACGATCATTAACACGATCATATATACGTATATACATCATATATAATACATTAAGGCGTTGTAGAGAAATGTATTTGGCATGCGTTTCATGCGTGCACCATTCATCAAATATCGACAAACTTTTTCATCGATTTTATCAAACCGTGATTCCGAATTTCGTAGCGCGAATCCGCATAGGACGGAATATATATATATATATAAATCAAGTATTGGCCCTTGGTAAAATTATCGAGACCGGTTTCGAACGATGGGCACATGGAAAATCGAGTGTCACTTCTAAGCGTGAACAATGAACGAAATATCGGGCGATATACCACGGATGGCCTTCGAATCCGATTGATTCCTCGGACGGAATATTCATTGGGCGTTGGTGTGCGTGGCGGAATATAACGGTGGCGGTGGGAGCGGGACAAAAGACCTTTCGCATGGAAATGAATCGCGATCGAGGCCGAAGTGGCTCTCGTTCATCGACAGACAGCCGCATACCCTGGGTAATAATTCTGAAAAATTGTTCCGTTCCCTGAGCTCACGGTCTGAGATTTCAGCGCATAAATCGCCCTCGTTCCTGGATCCCACGTGATATATCGGTGTTTGCAAGTGTTCCCTGAGAGGCATTAGGATCGTATATTCTCCAAGTATTGATACAGAATGGCTTTTCCGTTCCCGGTCGCCGCCTATAACGATATATTCCATCCTTCTCCCCTATTTTCACAGTCCATCGTATATACGATTTAACGTTTTGCATCTTAATCGAGCTGCTTCTTCTTTTTTTTCCCCGAGATTAATTTTTCTTTTTCCTTTTTTTTTTTTTCGAAGCTCGACGTTTTCAAGCTCGATCGATGTCCGTGATCGCGACAAAGTTTTATCAAAGCCCGTGGTCCACACCTAATTATGTTTCCATCGATAAACCCAGTCGCCTTCTAAGCGGGTTTCTCCCAGGGAAGAAAGTTCGTTAAAGTTTTTAAAAAATTCGCATTAACGTAGGAGTTGGTATAGCCAACCGGCCGCTAAACGTGAAATTAGTTTTTATCTTCGTTATGCAACGACCGAACTTATTAACGAATCCATCGACTTTAAATCAATCGACTATCTTGAAAAAGTTTATCCAATTATCGACGATAATAAAAAAAGAAAAAAGAAAAATATCGATCCGTTCCACGTATCTTTATCTTTATCTTACGAATCGACGATATCGTGATACCGATCTCAGATAGACCGTGTTTTTTTAATAAACTGTGAAACAACGGAGGATCCAATTTTACGATCGTCGTTCCATTTATTCGATATTTCCGTGCAGCGTGGAAACGGGAGACACGTTTGATAAGAACCCTTTTCAGGTAGGTTCGCTGGTAATTGGAACATTGGGCGTGTAGCAGAGTTGGCTAACTATGCATAGCGTTAGTATTCCGCGGTCGCCAATGCTTGGATCCAATTTAATGTTCTGCTCGCTCCTTGGATTTCAGATCTGGACACGATGTTATATGGATACACGAACAACATATATGTGCTGGACCACACTCCTGAATCGCTGCCGGTGAGTACGATTTCGAACAAGCCAGTTAGTCGCCGTTGTTACTCGCCTATTCGACCTCCCTTGTGCTCGTTCGTTTAAGTCGATTGCTGGCGGGTAGTATCATAATTGCGTTTCACGGTTTCGAAATTAATACGGTTGTTGAGCACGCACGGGGAGAGGGAGGAGGGGGGAGGGAGAGGGCAGGGAAAGATCGACCCGACCCGCTTTGACCCTGTCCAATTGGAATGCGCGCCCAAGGTGGAAATAATCGGCCGATCGATCGGCAAAAGTGAGGATTTTCAATTTCGAAACCGTGGTAATTTAATTTCGAAAATTTTAAAATTACAACGACACGCGCGGCGTAAAAAAAGGCAATTAATTTAGCCCCCCTCGTTAGTCCCCACGATTCAAAATAATTTAACCTTTTGTGATATTAATTCCCCCAAAGGTAATTCCCTTGTATAATAATTTCAATTAACCAATAGTCACGAATCGTAGATCACACATTTCTCTTTTACAATTTAGCGAGGTAATTCGCTTTAAGAACTTTATCAGTAGCTTGTAATTAAATTGCAGATGTTTGCGCGATATAAAATTTTTACGAAGAAATAAAGTTTTGTCTCGTTCTTCGAATCTATATATATGTATATATAATGCTTTCTTTCTTTCACGTTGTTCTGAGTTTAAATTTTGCACAAGTGCTACTTGTAATATTCGCGCGACCGAATAAAATCTCCAATCGTACGGGGTAGGGGGTACTGAAAGCTACGAAGTTAAATAAAATAAAATCGTTCGACGAGTTTCACGAAGATTGTACAAATTGTTTGATTGATGAATCCGACGATAGAAACGCAAAAGTCAGAAACAAGCGTTATCTTCGATTCACTTTTATCGCGGAAACGCGAGCGGAAAATCGAACGATTCGCCGAGAATTTAATTAAATTCGACGATACCGGATCGACTTTGTTTCCAATTAAAACTCGCAGACCGCGTATTTTGATTAACAGTCGAATTTAATAATAATCGGGCACGCTCGCGCAGCGGTGGGGAATTTTCTCGCGACAATTCGGATGAAACAACGAGAACGCGTAAATTTCGTGAATAAATTGAATCGATACCGGTTGTAATATTAACGAGGTGTGAACTGCAAGAGGAACGAGAATATATATATATATAGTGCACTCTACTTTTCGGATAAATTGCAGCTATCCCCTTTGTTCCGGGTTAACGATGAAAAAGAGAGAGAGAAAGAATTTATATCGTTTCCATAATTGAAAGAGCATGAAATATTCTATTCACAGGAGAGATACTAACTCTGACGCGAGCGCCTTAATTATCCTCGTCAGTGAACCGATCAAAATTTGTTCTTCTCGTTAGGCAAGATATTAGTCTTTTAACATTCCACGTAGTATAGTCAATTAACGTAGAAACATCCCTTCTCTTCGTAATTTTGCAATGATTATTTATTTAAAAAAAGTTGCACTTGAACTTGCAACTAATAATAACGAATACTATTAACACATTTGAATTTGCCATTAAAAAAAATTCAAAACTGATTCCCCAGATGCAAATATAAATTTTTGATTTAGATAGAAAAAAAGAGTAATACGTGAAAGAGTGAAAAGTGCAATGAAATTCAAAATAACTGTTTCGATTTCACATATAGGCAACGCTTGTATTGAACGCCTATACGAAAGAAAAATCCAGATATGAAATATTAAAAAAAAAAAAAAAAACTTTTCCATTTTCAATATATTCTTTGAAAAAAAAAAGAAAAAAAAAAATTCTCTCGACTAAATAAAATAAGAAATCCGATGATGCGTGACACACGTCATTCCCATCGAGTAAATTAACTATAATTGAACCGGCCATGTTAGTTAATCCGATCTTCCTGCGGATAATTGCATAAAAAAAAAAAAAAAAAAAAAAAAAAAAAAAAATTTTTCCTTTTTAAATATTTTTTTTGAAAAAAAAAAGAAAAAAAAAAAATTCTCTCGACTAAATAAAATAAGAAATCCGATGATGCGGGACACACGTCATTCCCCTCGAGTAAATTAACTATAATTGAACCGGCCATGTTAGTTAATCCGATCTTCCTGCGGATAATTGCATAAAAAAAAAAAAAAAAAAAAGAAAAAGAAAAAAAAAATACACGTGTCAGTTTCACGCTCGCAATTTCGTTCCATCCAACGCACGATTCATTTTACCATTCGAGATTAATCACCTGTTAAATCGTGCACGGTGTGCGCATATCATTGTCCATCGAACGAAACAGGCCACTCAATTATCCGCAACATCTGCCGGGTTACAGAAAAATACCGAAATCCTCGGAGCGAAACACGGCCGGGTTTATGAATTAAGTTAATTAGTCGTCGAACAAATGAAGCCTGCTCGTTAGCGCCAGTCGATTTCGGTTTCCCTCGACGCGAGGGGTTGGAGAGTGGAGGGAAGGATAGGTTAACAAGTTGAATTAACGATGTGGATCGAGTGGTGGTTCTCTCGTGTGCGTAAATGAGAGTTAAAAAAGATATCCGTGTGTATCGAATGTGGCCTTGTTTCGTTCGGTTTCATTCTTCGAATCTGTTATCAGTGACTTCAGATTGAAATAATTTCCTGACGATAACGCGAAACACTTCGAGATTGCTCGGAACTTGAAGATGGCATCGAGAAGAAGAGAGAATCGTGGTAGTGGATAGCAATTAAGGTGAAGAATCGAGGGAAGATCTTTATTAGGAGGCACGCGCGGTCGAAATTAGGGTACAGATGACCTGTTATCGTGGTATTGTCTCTTTTTATGACAAAATTGTGGAAGATGGGGGGACGAAAGGGAAGAAAAATATTCCTCTCGTTCCTTCTCTTTTCGTTTCTTCTCCTCTCGTTGCCTTCGTTCTATCGTTCTTTTCGTCGCTCATTTCGATGAAATATTTTTTTTTAATTTATATTTGTTGCGACACGAATGGAAAATTTATTCGAAATAAATAAATAAAATAAATAAAATAATAAAATAAATAATATTTGAATAATAAGGCTCAATATCGCGAATATTAACTCGAGCAATCTTCTATCTTTTATTTAACGCTCGATGATACCTAATATCGAATTTTGACAAGCGCACGAAAAGCGTACTTTGAACAGCGAAAAATAAAAAAAATAAAAAAAATAGAAAATGTGCGTTTCCATTTATTGGAAAGATTCATTTGACGTTGCGATCGTGCGCGTCAATTCGTCGTCATCAATTAAAATAGGAAATTCCAATCCACGTACAAACTTTGTAGAGATTGAAATATTCCAATTTATTGCTAACAAGATACGATGAAATATCATTATTCATATTTCTCGAAACGGTAGAGATAGAATATTCCTAACTAAGGCAGCGTACGTGTAAGTAAATCGTGGACTTTAAGTACGGAACCGTGGAAGCTCGCCTGTTTGCGTGTGTATTGGGTTATCCGTGTATACGGATAGGTGTACACGATGTTTCGTGTACCGTGTACACAAGACTGAATGTAATTTGCAGGAATCTCGGAGGGGGTGGGATCTCGATCCCGCCGTGGTGACATAGACATTGAATTTCCGGCATCTCGCCGTTCCGTATTGAATCGATCAATCAGTCGTATTCGCGTTAATTAGCTTGTAGCATAAAGTGTTTGCCATGTCGTTTAATCCGGATTGCGTTTGTATTTCACGCACCGTAAATAAATTTATTCCGGAGTTGGTCCGATACGTTTGAAAAATATTTCACTTGCAATGGGAACAGAGGGGAGAGTTGAAAGAAAAATTGAAAACGTCGGAAGATTGGTAAAGTTATTTTTGTTCTTGTGTGATATTTATATATGTGTGACCACATTCGTTGATTGGCAGCTTACGTGTTGCACAATCTTTATAGAGTTATTCGTAAAAATTCATAGTCTTCAAGTTTTGGATGATTTTGGACAAAGAAAAATGATGGCATATATCGAATTTTTTTATATATTGATAGAAAAAACAAATGTGAAACGGTGAAAAACACAATGAAAAACAAATGAAATCCAAAACAACTGTGCATATTGTTGACGATACTCGAACGTTAACGTGCAAAAGAAAACTCTTTTACTCGTTTACATTTTTTTTTTCATGGCACAATAATTGGATAGATCTCACTGACGCGTACGCTTTAAATGTGTAAAAATCTGCAGTGATAAGTGAATTACATCGAAGAAATGAGGAACTCGACGAGCAAGATACGCGATAATTATATATATATCGAGAAACAAAATGAAAACGTCGAACGAATGCATTACACGCCTGTATCACCCTGTACAAATCTACCCCCGTTAAAAAGTTTCCAAGAAACTTTTTTCTCGATCCGAATAAAAAGAAACGAATAAAAGGATCGACAGAGTGGGGATTGATGGAAATATTTACCGATGGGCTTTCGCAAACACGAAACCCTATTGACAGTGTGCACCGGCGTACGGAGAAACTTTCGGAGAGCAGCAGCCTGGAAACTTGGCGGAAGTAAATTCATTCCGGGATAGGCGTGTTGATAAACATCTTAGCACAGTTGGGTAACCGTTATAGAAACGATAGGTTTCGCGATCCTGCGACCCGGGTCGCAACGTCTATCGTTAAAAACCTCTTACTTCCACCTGAAGGAGGGAAATATCAGCAACGAAGGAAATCGGTTCGATTACCGATCGAAGCTTAAAACGTGCAACTTTCCTTTCTTCCATCGGTTGGAATGGAATGAAAAAAAAAGGGGGTGGAGAGAGGAAACTATTCGAGAAAAAATTCGATCCATAATGGCGGTTAAACGTCACGTAACTCGATCCTTCCGCTTGATTGAAACGGTAACGTTATAGCTTTCAATCGGGGAATATCTGATTTTCCGCGTGAACACGAAATTTCCATCAAACGTGACTCGTGAATTTCAAGGTGTTCTCGATCGCGATTCGAAACGCGTATATCGCAGATGGAGGGAATTTCCGTGGAAAAAGGATCGTAGCCGCTGTTAACTCGCCCTTCTCGGCCGAGCTATTTATCAGTGGCGGAGGATTGCAGGAGAAAGTTGGCGCGCGTAAGGAAGCTCGGTGGAACGAAATACGAGAGTGGATACGTTTCCCGGTGGAATATAGTGGACTCTGGCCCGGGCACATCGAATCAGCTTTCTGCTTGTTATCTCCCGGCATTTGATTCCTTTGCCATTTTCTGTCCACTCGCTCACTCTTTTGTCCGTGGATTCTGGGGACGACGTTTCCTCCGGGGGCTTCTTTAGCCGCGGTGGAAATAAAGATTCGGCCAATTGCTCGAATGGGGGAAAGGTCCATTCGGACCATGAAACAATCTTCTGACATTTTACGCTCATTTTTTTTCCCCCTTTCTTTTTTATTCGACAAACGTCACTACTGGGATGCGAAAATCTTTTCCTCTGCGAGTCGACGCGAAGATTTCGATGTTAGGTGAATTAGGAGAAAGAGAGAATACGTACGTAATTCCGCGTTATAATGTTTAAGAAATGATTCGATGAATAGGGATTGATGTTCGAAGGAAGGAAAATTTAATCTTAAGAATATTTAAGATTTCTCAAAGGGAGTTTGAACGACGAAACGTTGCCAGAATATTTTCGCGAGTTTCGAAAGTTTCGGTATCCCTGACGCGGTGACAAATAAAACTGTCAGTTTTGCATTCATATTCCTCCCTTCCGTTATATTTTCAACGGGTTCCGTTCTAATCTGCTGCCCAACACCGTTCACGAAACTTAAATCTGCCGTGAGTTAGTCTCCCGGAACGACTTAAACTTTGACCAGCCAAATATTAACTCTTTGCACCGCGGACTAAAGAGAAGAATTCTTTCCACCCTGATGAAGAGAAACTTCCCTCCGGAATCATTTCAAATACGAGCAGCCTCGAGTCAAAGTTTGCCCCAACTCTGGCAAAAATCATTTAATCAAGATTTATCCCCGTGTGCAAGTGCAAAGAATATTCTTGCGAATGAAAATGTATAAAACAAAAGATGGAAACATCGAAACTTTGAATCTTTTCGATTATTTTTCGTAATTCGATCAACATTAATCGCGATTCATGGATACGTTTCAATGCCGATCGTAGGAGATTTGAATCTCGAATTTTTTTCTTTTTTTTTTTTTGTTCAATTCTCTCGCGTGAAGGATAAAACGTTTTTTATTATACATTTCACGCGATTGACAAGAGAAACGACAAGGGATAAATCTACCATGATAAACCTTTATGATTGATTTCCTGTCAATTGCGGAATCACGATCAAATATCGTTACAGATCTATCGAAAACTTCCAATTTTTTATAATATCTCCTCGCCAAGGATAAAAAGACTCTTCGACATTCCGAGAGGTGACAAGTACAAGTCTGTGATAGATAGAGCTTGATCGATCTTCCGTCAATCGCGGAATTATAATCAAGTTACGCGCGTTTATATGTATCCCATTCGTATGCACATGCATATAAACAAGTACAAAGTAAACGCGAAATTAAATACGGATCTCGATTTTTCTCAATTTCTCTCCAATCCAACGAAATCGAAACGTTTGTTAACGTTTGTGTCCAACGTTCAAGAGATTACGGAAAAACTTCTTAACCGAGAGGCGGATCGAGTCGAATCATTTTTACGATTCTTTGGTGGAAAGCAAATAGCGGGGAACGCATTAAAACTCTTTCTGGTGGAACAGCGGAATCGTTTTCAGCGAAGATTCCGTGCCGGTGAACCACGATGCTTTAAAAGCGCATCCTCTCCCCTTTCACTGAACGTTTATGGTTAATAATAGTTGGAAAGCTTGGGGCCCCGGGGCAAAAAGGCTTTTAACTCACGTGTATTTTCCATGCTTTCTCCGATTGCACGATTCCGCTGAGATTTCGCGACCCGGCCTCGATAACGTACGCAAACATCATCGCGATAAAATAATTGCGCGAAAAGGTTTCACTTCGAAATTATCGCAAATATCGGATTTAATAATGATGTAACGCCGAGATGAATTTGCAATTTTGGATGATTAACAAATGGTATTATGATTATTTTCTTTCTTTCTTCTTTTTTTTTTGCACAGGGATTTGTCACGTTCTTTTCACGTCGTCGAGAATCTTGATTGCGAAGAACCGTGTTTTATGAACCGTGATTTATGAAAACGTGCTTATACGATATTTTGTACGTCGATAGAAAGAAATGCAAAAATTTGTTTACGCGTTTTCGTTTTCTTGTTCCTTTTTTTTCGACTTTGATATAAATATTTTTTTCTTGTTTAAATGTATTTTATACAAAATTAAGTCAGATTTAAATTGCACGATCGATGCACTCTTAACTACTCGCACAATCTTCTCTAAACGTTCTTAAAAACGTTCCGACCATGCTTTTACGACGCATTTTCCAAGTTTAAACTTGGTAAAGAAGTTACGGAAACGTCCAGATGATTCACGATTTTCTAACAATTTTATTATCGCCCTTTTCAATATTCAGCAGCCTCCTCCTTTCCTCCTCCCTTATTATAGAAAATTTACTTTTTTCGCATGACGTGCTAGTTTAACGATCGATTTATCGTTGCCAAATTAATAAAACCACGTTAAAACTCTTAGCGAAAAAAAAGATGTCCAATAATTCTGATTCTGTAATCCTATAAACTCGTCTCATCCTCCTCGCTAATTCCGTCTGAATTTTTTCAGAGAAGGAAATATCTCTGAGATAAAACGAGCGTACCCCGCCACGTTCCAACCCGTAACCAGCCACCTCGGTGGAAAATATTTTTCATCGTGTCGCCGGATTTTGTCGCTTATCAACGTCAAATTATCACGACGCGTGTGAAAATCTTCACGAGTTCCTTCGCACGTAAGTCGGGCATCCAGTTCCAATTATTTTCTTCCAGCGAAATAGTTCTCGCTCTTTGTAATAGACGCGTTTGTCCCGTGGGGTGAATTAACCCCAGGAGGCTGGGTTTTTTAATGATCCGATAATTAAGCGAGCCACCCCCCCCTCCTCCTACGTAAAATTCGATCATCAACCGCGTCGATCAAGAGGGAAACAGAGGGCCCAGAAGAGAAGTTTTCGGACAAGGCTTGTTTTAAAACGCTTGTACAGGGCTCGGTTTTAAAGCGCGCTCGTGAAGGTGCGGTTCTTGGAGTTCGATTTTTCGTTGGCGCGGAAAATCACACAGATCCCTTTCATCAAGCGGGCAGAACGGTTTAAAGTGGCTGTAATTTCTAATTTCCATGGTAAAATCCGTGGTTGCTTGTTATGGTATTATGCAAATTAGCGCAAAGAATTACGCGAGCACCCTTTTGAGGCTTGCTAATTAACGGAGTGAACAGGAGGAGTCGAGGATTAAGTTACCCATTCTTGAACCAACCTTTCTACTTTGAGTTTCAAAACCAAGTTTTTATTTTTTCTCTCTTTCCTTTCTTTTTCTTTCCCCTCCCCCTTTTAAACGAGTCGTAAGCTTTTATATCTACGCCCAAATCGAACTTGATTTTTCACCAACGACATCAATCGTTCTATTTAAATTAACCTCTTTAAAGATTTCGCAAATTCTCTTTTTTTGCAAATAACAATTTCAGGAATCTCTCGCGAAATTAATTTATCGTGACGCACGAAAAAATGAAGTAAAAGAGAGAGAGAGAGAGTAAAAGTTACTCTATTTTTTATCTAACATTAATCGCCCCGAAACATCCGACGTGTCAAAGGATTAAAAGAGGAAATGGAGAATACTCGAGAAGAATACTCTCGTCTCGCTCTTCTTTGACAATGCACCAAAGAATAAAGAATTCCTTTTCTTTTCTGTCGGTGGTGCACGGACATTTGGATGCTGCACATCGTCGCATCGTTAGAAAAATCCTTTTTTTTTTTTCGCCTTGGGCGTGCTCGCGGTGAAAAAGTCTCAAAGAGGAGGAGGCTTCCGTCGCCGATACGAGGAAACGAACGAGACAAGAGCACTCGCCCGTACGTCTTACCTCGTTAAGAGAATAATGCCCTTTCCGGGAGGGAGGCGAGTACTACTCCGGACCAACGAGTATCAACGATGCAGACGCGCAAAAAACAACCACCGACACCCTTAACAAAAGCCAATCAACCCCTTCGGAGGGGTTGTTTGTTGAAGCGACTCTTTGTAGACGCGTCCGCACGATAATAATTTAATATCTCGCGCGAATATTTTGATAAAGCTGTAATTAAACGGGACGATGGAGGGCCGATTAAAACGATAATTTGAGGAATTTGAACGGGGAATAATAAACGAATTTGCTCCCCCGAATTATTGAATTATTTTTACATCCCGGATCAAAATAACCGAATATTAATTGAATTAATCTTACGTTCGGGAGAAAATTAATTTTTGATCGATCTTCGAAATCGAGGATCAAGATTTTTCACCGCGAACGTTATTAATTAAGAGTACTTGACGTAGCGCGCGAGTTACGTAAAATAAACGCGATAAACGAAATTAAACGAGAGATGAAATCTTTGTTGTGTGTAAATAATATGAAATGGAAATTAATTAAATTCGAGGGTAAGGATTAACATCTGGTTTCAGGATATGGACATGTTGCAATTGTTCGCCTCGCCGGCGGGTCGAGCGTTACTTAACAGTGACAATCGGCGGAGAGGATCGACGTCGACCTCCTCCTTGTCTCGAGAGTCCTCTTCGAGGCTGAAGAGAGGTAGAAGACTATCGGGTACAGTGAGCGCGCCCGCGACACCTCCAAGGCAACGGAAATCGAGCGCGGAGCTGTACAAAGAAGCCGCCGAGATCCTCGGTCTTACCTGTTCGTTGACCGATAGCTGTCGATGCATCGATTGCCAGGTAAAACTCTTGTTACGAATCCCTTTCGTTTCGTTCTTCGATATATTTTTAACATATTCGATATTGTAGCGAAAAAATTAATCAAAATTTACAATGAACACCTACGTTAAAAAAAAATCATTCGTCAAAACCAATTCGTGTATGGTGAAATATCTCGCGATTAATAAAAAAGTTGGTTGGTAAAAATCTTGTTGCGAATTCCTGGTTTCTGTTTCTTCGATATATTTTTAACATATTCGATATTGTAGCGAAAAAATTAATCAAAATTCAAAATGACCATCTATATATACCGATAATACATAATACCGAATATGCAAATTAAAAGTTCGAAAATTCTTTTTTACGTTTTACTTTTCGTTAAAAAAAAAATCATTCGTCAAAACCAATTCGCGTATGGTGAAATATCCCGAGGTTAATAAAAAAATTGATTGGTAAAAATCTTGTTGCGAATTCCTGGTTTCTGTTTCTTTAATATATTTTTAACATATTCGATATTATAGCGAAAAAATTAATCAAAATTCAAAATGACCACGTATACCGATAATACATAATACCGAATATGCAAATTAAAAGTTCAAAAATCCTGTTTTACTTTTTACGTTTTACTTTTCGTTAAAAAAAAAATCATTCGTCAAAACCAATTCGCGTATGGTGAAATATCCCGCGGTTAATAAAAAAGTTGGTAAAAATCTCGTTGTGAATTACTGGTTTCTATTTTTTCAATATATTTTTAACATATTATAGCGAAAAAATTAATCAAAATTCAAAATGACCACATATACCGATAATACATAATACCAAATATGCAAATTAAAGGTTCAAAAATCCTGTTTTATGTTTTACTTTTCTTTAAAAAAAAAATCATTCGTCAAAACCAATTCGCGCACGGTGAAATATCCCGCAGTTAATAAAAAAGTTGTTTTCTGGATTATTCACGGAAGATGGTTGGTTTCGCAAAGCGCGAATGAATCCTTGGAGCGAGGAGGGAAATTTCAAATAGAAATTCAGTTTCCCTTTTGTAATCGCGATTAAGATAGAGCGGCGTAATTGCATCTATTCACGGTCTCGTGTAATTAGCTCGAATCGGCGAGAATAATCTTGGAAATTAAAGGGATATTGTCTCGATTTCGGGAATAATTGTCTAACCCCCTGTATACCAATTATGGCGGGGCTGTTTCCATTGATTGCCCATTTTCTCGGCCAAGCGCGTAAATATTTCTTTGCCCTAGTTTTTGGCCGCGGATCAGCTGGCGTCCCAATGGGGCCAATGGTTGGCGTGGGGATGAAACTCGACTCGGTCGACGATCGTCGGAATTTAATTAAAAATTTTATCGAGTAACAGATTTTTCGGCGACTCGAGTTCGCGCGTATGGAACAATCGTCTAGGATGGAGGCGTTCCAACGACGAGAAAATCTATAGAAAATCTCTCCCTTCCTTTCCACGAAACGATATACACGGAAACTTGTTAAATGAGATTTTTTGGTTTTCAATTCACTCGTGTATCCCTCGTTTCTGACAAAAGCGGCCGTTCTCGCTCTCGTTTACGGTCACGGGATTTTCACATCACAGGGGTGGCTTTCCAAGGCTGACATAGAATTCCCAAGGTTAACATTTTCCTTTGCCCCGACTTTCGAACCTCGAACCTTCGACCTTTTAATGGATGGCCGAGAGAAACGGTCCTCGTATCTGTCGGGGGTGGGGGTGTTTAATAGCTCCGACCTTGAGAGGCCGATAACAAAAAAGCTTTGACATTAGAGGTTCGATGATGAAAAAAACTTTGATCCGAGAAATTGAATGTCAAAAAGCTTTGATCTCGGAAATTAATCGTCAAAGGGATTCAAGACGTCAATTCATCGAGAAATTTTCCACGTTAAAATATTGCAACTATGAGCTAACTCGATCGAAACTTCAAAAAATAATTATGTCGAATTAATTATCGATTATCCTGTCTCAAATTTATTCCATGCCAAAATTTCCAATTGCAAATTCGTTCTTTTTCTTGTCCGTATTTCATATTATTTTCCTATTTTTAAACGTTGATAAAATGAATCAATAAGAGGAAAATTATTATTATTGCATCGCGTGACGTTGATTAACGTTCGTTCGTCTTCTTTCCAGAGTAATTATTTCGACTGCGATGACGATTTCGGCGACGCGAGGACGGAATTGGCTGCGGGGACACCTATTCTACTGGACCATGCTTTGACACATCCATTGACGTGTTCCATACAGTAGCAGGCGAATATCTCGTTTCGAGCACGATTGGGTGTCACTCCTGCACCGCCACCTGATGAACCGGAAGTCATCGAGGTGTCGAGGAACCTTGAATCCAGGACGAAGTGTGGGATATTCGAGGCGTGCACTTTGATCTCGATAAACTGCGTAACTCCGTAAAGAAGAAGATCGTGTGTGAATCGAGACAACAATTCACCGGTTCATTTTACCGAATATCATTTCACGGATATATGGAACTCGAACAAATCGAAACAATCGAAATTTTTTCGCTGCACCGAAAATCTGCACAAAGGTCTTGATATATTTCTCGTTCTCAAACGATTCTTCGCGTTTCTCAAACGCGAACCTTCTTCCAAAGTTTTTGTAATTGCGTTCGTTAAAGTTTGTTAAAGTTTTTCAAGGATGATTGATACGACGGGGCGATATGTGAATAAGAATCGATGAAATGATAACATTGTATCGAAAAAGCGTGTAAAATTTTGTATTGATTTCAATGGTAAAAACATTTGAGTGAGAATTTCGTTTGCCAATAATATTATAACGTAAACGCGAACTTTCTATTTTTGGAAATATAGGAATGAATGGTAAAAAATTCGTTCGTTCGTACAATTCATCGTTCTCTCCTCGATGGATCACCGGTTAACATTAACGATAATTAAACGAAAGAATAAAATATATAATTTGTGGACAATACATTGTAACGGAATAAGTCACTGCTCCGATTGTTTCTTCTCTTTTTGTATGAAACGAAAAAAAAAAAAAAAAACGCAAGCTTACGTACCTAGGAATATTTATGTACAAAATGCTCCCTGTATGTACAACAATCTGCCGGTAATCGCACTGGTTTCGAAATTAATTAAAATTATCGAGATAACGAAATAAAAAAAAAAAAAAAGGGAAAAAAAGGAAAATTAAAACAGAAAAAAAAGCTCATCGTTTCACGTTTTCATTATTAAATATTTCTATATATATATGTATATTATCATTGATACGAGAGAAAAATTCAACGCGACATTAAATTTCGAGAAAACGCGAAAAGAAAAAGAAATAAAATAATATAATGAATGGTGTATCGAAAAACGAAAAAAATATAATTACAATGCGCTCGTCTGGCTCAAATTGGACGAATTTATTTATCGATGCGAAAATGAACAAATGCCAAATGAAAAAAATAAAATAAAATAAAATAAAATAAATGCGCCAAATTTCTAATGTAATTAGCGATAATAATAATAATAATTAACATTTAATAAACGATAACCCTAATAATAATAATAATAATAATTATTATGATAACGATATGATCGATCTAGTCGGAAGATGTAACACGATTAAGATGTTAATTAGGTAAAAACTTCAATGGTTTGTCGACGTACACGATATATAAGAATTATATATATTATATTTACTACACGTTTTATTATTATATTAATTCGATTAAGTATAGTAGGATACGTTGTTGAACGTTTATGAGCTCGACGAATTAAACCAAAATAAGGAAAAGCAAAAAAAAAAAAAAAAAAAAAAAAAAAAAAGAAAAAAAAAAAAGAAAAAACCAGGGAATAGTTGAAAAGAAATTGAGGAAAAAAAAATTAATGAAAACGAAAATATATATATATATACATAAAATATATAAATGAGCGCAATGCGTAAAATTTATACGTGCAAGATCAATACGTATAAATCGAATATTTATGTCCGATTAAGTTTTTATATAATCCTTTTTGTTAAATGTTAAACACGTCGACTGCCGTTTCTAATTCTCGCCGATGAGAACATCATTAATTTTAATGACGTTTCGAAATTTCTTCAACTATAACGTAATTACTATTTCTTCTGCCTGCCTTCCTTAATGTCGAAAACGTTATTAAAATTCCTACGAATCGTACGTGAATAAAATAGTATAGAAAAAAAATTGGATTTCTGACGAGATTTCGTCAAAATTTAAATTTACATTTGAAAAAATTTAGAAAGAAAAAAAACGAGAGAAAAGAAAAAGATATTCGCGACAGTCGATGTGTGATCCACACGAATCGTGATTATAAAATGACGTAACGATAAACGAAGCTAGGCCTGAGTTACGTAGAATTGTGGATCGGTTGAAAGAGATTAAAAAAGTGAGAATGAATATATGTAAGAGAGTATAAAAGTGAGTTGGATATTTCCTCGAGTGATTATAGTTAAAAAAAAAAAAAAAAAAAAAGGAAAAAAAATGAAAAGAAACAGGATGAAGGTGTGATTACGGTATGTCGAAATCCGCGTAAAAAATAAAAAATAAATAAAAAAATAAAAAAATAAATAGAACAAATGAAAGAAAAATAAATCAAGTTCATGAATGCAAGTGCCAAACTAAAGTTTAATCGCGCGACGCTCGTAAGCTTAGTGGTTCGCTATCGAAATCTCTTCTTAAATTATCCGATAGATTATAATACGATTTAAAAAATACGGTGATAGGGCTGAATATTCACATAAGTCTTATCGAACGATCCTTTAAATCTATAAATTAAATACATCGTGCTTCCCTTTTTACAGAAAGAATAAAAAAAAGAAAAAAAGAAAAAAAAAAAACAAGGCGCGTTGTCGAATCTTCGATGAGATAAAAATCGATCGAATAAAAGGGAAACAAAAAAGATCAAGTCATTAAGTTATTCCATAAATAATGAATTTTCTCTGTTGAATTTAATGCGGTCGAAATTATATTCACGACAGAAATTTTATAACAAGAGAAAAAAACGGAAGAAATTTGAAAAAATTAACGAGATAAAATTTTCGTTAATTTATTTCCAATTAAAAAATATATATCGAAATAAAGTGAATTACGCGTGGAATAACTTAATGCATTCGTAATAGTATTCTCGTAAACTTCAGAGATTCTGATCGAGTTTTATACACTTCCAACGACGAGTCTATACCTTCACGTCTTTTATTACGTTACTGTAAACGTGTGCAAGTTGAAATGGAAAAGTTTCACGATTGCTCTCTTTTTACAACGAGACAAGCTGTCGAAACAGGGACGAAAGCCTGTCACATTTTACTGATCATGATTCCGCCAAGGATTCTGGAGGATTGCGAACTTTTTTATCGCTGCCATTTTTTGTCAAAGTTTTCATCAAATTGCATTGTAAATTGTTTGATACTGTTCACCGAATAGAATAGAATTTACGACGATTTTATTTTCGCGTTTCATTTTCATTTCAACATTACGTACGCGTAGATAAAGGAGAGAAAGATCGATGATGTTTGATCTTTGATAATTACGAAATGAAACGTTTTTAACGAACAACCTGTTATCTATATCGCGAGATGTTAAAATAATTGCATTTAAAAATTATTAAAATCCGTTCTATTTCCTTCATACTGTTCTTGTTACTTGAGAGACCTCGCATTTTTGCCTCTCTTCCGATTGAATATCAATCAGCCAATCGATATCTAGGTCGTTCGTTTTGCGCGATCGTTTTGCGCGTCGAATTGGCTTTCTCTCATCGACGAAAGTAAAAGCGCAATTAATTAATCTTCTTTTCCGAGTAATCGAGAGAAACGCGTAAACCCGTAAAGCAAGGAGTGTAACGATTCGAAAAAAAAAAAAAAAGAAGGGAAAATAATACGT